TTTTGGGGCCAAGTACAAGAATTTTGTTTTTTTCTGAGTTTAACATCAGAAAATTGCAGCTCATCCAGGTTTTTATGTCCTTACAGGTATAACTGGGTATCATCTGCATAACAGTGATAGGGATAGAGTTAGACTCGGCTGTCGCTGCTGTTCAAGCATTTAAAAAGGTGGTTTTAGGGTCTGGGGGAGATTTTTGGTCTGAAATATTGTGCAACAAATAAGGTTGTAATAACACTGGTAAACTTTTTATCTGGTTTTGCCAAGTTGGCCATCTGGCTGATGATGTGACAGTGATCTGGATTCAATGGTCCAATAAAGGGATGTTAAAACCAAAACCTCTTCTCCTCCTCGTCTCCCCTCCTTGTCTCCTCCCCTCCTTGTCTTCCTCATGTGCTTTCCTCCCTCCCTCTCTGTGTGTGACATCATTATGACGTCATCCTGTTTTTATTCAATGATATGTCCTCTCTGAGGTCATGTGACGAGCTGTCAGCTGTGGGCTGATTACATAATGTCAGATTCAGAGTAGCTGTTTATTTTATTTATTAAGTTACTGATTGAACAAACAGCAGTTTTTATTTTGTTATTGTAATTTCAATATTCAGATTACTGAAAAACATCCTTCAGTAATATACAGTATATATCAGATATAATATAACAGTATAATATATAACTTACTGTATAACATATTAAGAAATATCACTAATAATGTTAAATATCATTAACAGTATAATGTATAAAATATATAACAGGATTAAGTACCAATAATAGTATATGATAGTATATATTCATCTTATTATTTTCAATATTGAGATTACTGAAAAACATCCATCAGCAACATAAAGTATAATATATAACATATATAATATACAATATATCACTAATAATATTAAATATCAATATATTATGTTGTTTAGACCCTGTAAATGCAATCAGCTGTAATAATAATCAGATAATAAGATAAATATTAATAAAGATAATCTAAGATTTTTACTGATATCATATTTTACAGCAGCTCATTATCACTGTACACCCCCAACCTCAGCCTGCAGGCCTACTGCGCATGCGCCTCGTTCTGCAGCAGTCCGTGTGTGTCCGTGTGTGTGT